GATGCTGAGCTCAGTCCCCACTCCTGCATGTGGTTATCTCCCATATGCTTTTCCTTCTAATGCCAGTATCCTCCTTCCTGAATCTCCCAATGCTTGCTCATGATGGCTGACTTGCTGAGACATGCTGATCAGGCTGATTCTGATCGATCCTTGGGAGATTAACCAGGATCCCAGAGCTTGGTTGATCTCACAAATCATATGCACTACCAACCCAATTAGATCATCAATTCCCAATGATTGCCACAGATCAATTTGGCGCACACTTCATACGCTGACCTTGTGACAAAGGTTTCCTGATAGTCAATTCCCTCCCTCTGTGTAAAGCCTCTTGCAACTAGTCAAGCCTTGTGCTTTATTGGCACACCATCTGCATTGAGCTTTAGGCAGAGCACAATCTTGGAGTCCACAAGTGGTGCTCCAGGTGGGTGATGTACAGCCTCCCATATGCCCATTGCTTCAAGCCCTTCCAGTTCCTTGTGGATCGCTTCCTTCCAAAGCTGAGCATCCTCTCCATCCATTGCTTCTCTGAGCATTGGATCCAAGTTTAATGCAGCTGTGTTGGTGGCACCAACCACACTATCCATGGCTGGTAAGAGGTCCTCTACTGCAGCTTCAGACATAGCCTCCTCTTCCATTGTGGTGGGCACTGTGGTATCTTCCTCTCAACTTCCACTGTGGTTGTGAGCTTGTATGCTTCCTGCTGGCAGTCATCCCAGCCCTTGTCCTCATGGAATGTTGCAGAGTTGCTCCATTGGACTGATGCTGGCTGGTCTGGGTTGCAGAACTTCCATGCCTTGTGTTTGTCATCATATCCAATAATGATACCTGGTTTTGCTCTGGTCCCATATTTGCCCTGTTGGTCCTTCTGTTGGACATGGACCCATGCCAAGCATCCAAATGCTCACAGTTGCTGCACCAATTTGTGTGCAGTGGTTCCATAAAAGGCTTTGTGAGGGATGGACTTGGTCACTGATGGGGTAAGGTTCATCACATGTGCTGCTGCAGTAATTGCAAAAGGCCATAACTCTCTGCAGCAGGCTCAACCAATGAGCATTGAACACATCTTCTCTTGACCTGACCTAATTGCTCTTTCTGCCTGTCCATTCTGGGCACTGACCCCCAGAACAGTCTTCTGCCACTTAAAACCTTCTGTCATGGAAACTGCGCAGGAAGATCCGAAATGAGGTATGAGGAGCCTTGTGTCAGGGGTCTCGCGCCTGAAACCCAGGTCGGTCTGTCGAGATACTTGGTGACTATCAAACTGTGCAACAGCTATTGTCTTGGTATCAGTCTCGACAAGCTAGTCACTCAGTGACTATCAAGTTGCACAATGACAGCAGGTGGCATTTGTTGTATATACTATCGTAGGTTTCGGCTGACCTCTGTGGACACTCTGTTCAGGGGTAGCTTGGCATGATCAATATCAATATGTAGGTTATGATGACACCAAGGTCTGGTGTGAGTGTTGATGATGATGAGGTTGATGGTGTTGGTGATAAGGTTGGTGAGTGTTGATGATAATGAGGTTGATGGTGTTGGTGATAAGGTTGGTGGCATCAACATGAGTGTCCAGTGTGTTGACTGATGCTTGGAGTGATCCCCAGACCACAGTGGACTACTGCTTTTGGTTCTATCTATATCTGGACTGCTGGTTTGCTATGAACTGCCTTCAGACATCAGGTAGTGGTGATACAACACATGCACTACAAGGAGGAGCAACCTTGTTAGATTGCTACTATGCTGACTGGAACTAATATATACTTATGCTGAAGTGATAACTAGTTATGGTGTGTGTAGAGTGGATGAGGATCCACTTGACCTTTGATGATGAGAAAGTATGGTTATATACCTCTTCACAGTGTCACCAGTGATGCTGCTCCTGCTCTCTCTCTCCAGAGAGTACCTTCTTCATTGAGTACTGTACAGGGGGCCCCTCTAGCACCACTCCTGTCCCCCTTGAGCTATCGACTTCTTCAACACTGCTCCTCCTCCTTGCTATCCTGCTTGCTTGGCACCCCTGTGCCTCCTGAGTGGTGTCGACTCCTTTGACACTGCTCCTCCTCCTCAGGACCTGCTTGCTGGTTCCCTATACACTGCTCCATCTCCTTTGACTGGTGATGGTTCCTTTGACTCTTGTCTCTCGAGCCCCTGAGTGGTAACTGTCTGCATGCTCCTTGAGCTTGGTCCTCTTCGTGGCTGTGCCTGCTCTTTGAGCTTGGTCCTCCTTTGCATGTGAGTCCATAGGAGTCCATGGTCTCCATGGAGACTGCACTACAACCATGCTCTCTACTGGTATCGACTAGATCTCTGATACCTGTGCTCCTTCCATATGAACCAGTGACCCTCCTGCTTCTTGAGCATTTAGGCCCATGACACCTTGTGTGCTCAAATTGCGAAATAAACCGGATCGCGGGGTTCCGGTTGATTTCCCTGACAACAACCGCATTGCGCTTGTCTGGTTGATTTCCCAGTTGATTTCACTGAATGCATCGCAAGAAGCTTCCATCGAGATGGAACAAGCCGATGGACTACACGGAAACCACGGGAGGCTGAGCAGAGAAGGCTGTCATAAGACCGGATGCACAGGAGGATCTGGAAGCATATGAGGAGTGGTGCAGGACTCGTCGGATCGGGCCGACAAGGGTCCAAAAGCTGAACCCATCGACATTGGTAGTAGAGAGGTCCTACAACAGATCTCACTCAAATCGGTAAGAGCGGGAGCTTATAGCAAAAACCACTGGAATTAGTAGTATTGTGATTGTATGACAGATCTCACTGAAACTGGCGAAAGGACGTCGATATCATGGATGGGTGGCAATGACATCTGGGTCCACCACCAATGAAGTGTCACAGGGTCAGTGGATCAGCATATGAAGTGTGCGCCAAATTGATCTGCAGCAATCATCAGGAATTCACAATCTAATCAGGTTGGTAGTGCATATGACTTGCAAGATCAACTGAACTCTGGGATCCTGGTTAATCTCACAAGGATTGATTGGAATCAGCCTGATCAACATGGCTCAGCAAGTTGGCCATCATGAGTAAGCATTGGGAGATTCAGGAAGGAGGATACCAGCATTAGAAGGAGAAGTGTACAGAGATAACCACATGCAGGAGCAGGGTCCAAGCTCAGTATCACATGGACAGTTACCACTCAAGGGGTACATGCATACAGCCACATAGGACCAAGCACAGGGGTGACCACATGATCAAGGGGCTTGGCAACAGGGCCTGACAGGTGGTTAAGGGATTCACAAGATAAGGTCAAAATAGTAGTTGCTGGTGAAGAAAGAAGGAGCTGTGTCAAGTAGACCAGGGATTGTCTATGAGGAGGAGGAGCTGTGTTGAAGGGGTTGTCACACATCACCAGGCAAAGAAGAGAATGGAGGCAAAGGGGCAGTATTGCACAAACCAATACACTGTGCAAGCAGTAGAGGCACAGCATCAAAGGGATTGACACCAGCAGGAGAGAGAGTGTCAAGAGGAGGCAAAGGCCTCTCAGGAGGAGTAGGAGAGGTGTCACAGGCAACACCAAGCAAATGCATAAATACTCTCATTCTACCATAGCATATGAGTGGAACCTCATCCACTCTACTCTATACTTTACATACTCTTTACTTGACTCATAGTTACATATCATTGCAATAGCAGAGCTTTGCAATGACACCTCAAATGTGTGTGTTGTATCACCATTAGGCATCAACTGTAGGTGGTGTTCCTCAACACCTGCAGTCCAGTTCCTTACTGTAGGCAGTGTTGCTTGACACCTGCAGTCCAGTCAGTTATTGTAGGCAGTGTCCAACACCTGTGGTCCAGTAACTCCCATCCTCTGTAGGCAATAAGCATATTGCAGTCCAGACAATGTTAGAGAGCATTAGCAACAGTACTACAAACACTTGTACTGTAAAGGAGAGTGTATTACTCTCTCTCAAGAGAATAATGGATGTGCCACACAACCTCTGAACAGAGTGTTCAAGGTGGTCAGCCAAGACCTACCAGTATGAAGCCATCTGGTTATGTTTAGTCAAAAGATACCAAGTAGATCTTACTCAATTGATCTCACTGAAGTCAATCAGAAAACCCCAACCTGGTTTCAGGCGCGAGACCGCTTACATGAAGCAGGGGACCTGCTTGGCAAATGAGTCCAGGGGTGGTAGATGGGTTAAATGAAAGGGTGTGTGAACTATTGCTCAGATGAGGTGGAACTGACCCCTATCGATGATGAGACAATGCAAAGACTGTCCATCTGCAGGAAGCACAAGACACAATGCTGACAAGCAGCACCACAGGATGGGAAGGAGGAATAGAAAGGATGAGGAGGAGGAGGAGCAGTGCCAAAGAGATGCCCAGAGGGGGGGGCACAATGTTGCAGGGCGATGTCAAGAGAATGGTTATATAACCTCGCTCTTCGCCATAGCCGTTGAGTGGATCTCCATCCACTCTACACCATATAAACTAGTTATCACTTCAGCATGAGTATACATTAGTTTCAGTCAGCAAAGTTGCAATCACAAGTAGATTGCTTCCATTGTAGCACATGTGTTGTATCACTGCTCACTGACATCAGATGGTGGTTCATATTAACCAGCAGTCTGGATAATGATTAGAACTGAAGGCAGTCATCCACTGCAGTCCAGGGATCACCTCAAGCACTCAGTCAACACACTGTACACTTGTGTCAGCACCACCAACAATCTCATTCACACCAGACCTTGGTGTCAGTACAAGTTCATATAGCCATTGATCATGCTGAGCTACCTCTGGACAGAGTGTCCACAGCAGTCAGACAAAACCTGCAATAGCAAACACACTACTACATCTTCAGGCAAGAAAAGTCATAGAGGCTTCTCTATGACATACCTCAATAGAAATAATAATACTCAACATGTTATCACATATCTCAACAAGATTTGTGATAGACATGTTTCTATTACAGATATCAGGTTTTAGGCACGGGACCTCTGACAAGAGGCTTCACTCAGCGGGAGGGCATCGACTACATGGAGGTATTCACAACAGTCACACCCATTCAATCTATTCAAGGAGTGCTCACCATCACAGCAGTCCAAAACTGGGAAATGGATTCTATTGATGTAAAGCAAGCATACCTAAATTTGACAATACACCATGATGTATACCTAAAGCCTCCAATTGGAATCAAAATACCACCCAGAAAAGCCCTGAAGGTAGTGAAGGGACTGTACAGCCTGAAACAATCAGGCTGTGAGTGGAATATCGAGCTAGATTCACATCTCCAGACAATTGGATTTCATTGCATGCCAAGCACACCATGCCTATACTCAAGAGGAACAGGCAATAGAATCACAATCATCACAGCATATGTAGATGATATGTTGATAACATTGCCCAGTCATAACAAGGTGGATCATACTAAGCAAGAGATCATGGACAAATGGGAGATGGAGGATAATGGCAAAGTCAAGGAGTTTCTGGGGATCAAGATCACTCACTATAGGGGGCAGAGGAGAATATCTCTGGATTTAACTGCATATGTTAAGGCAATGGTAAGCAAATGGTTAGGGGGAACAAATGAAAAATCATGGATACCCATGCTGAGTGTGGCAAGAGTTGCTGGAGGCAAGAAGTGTAACCCTCAACAAGTGAAGCAATACCAAGAGTTGGTTGGTCAACTATTGTAGGTGTCTAACACCACCTGGCCAGACATTGCTTTTGCAGTGGGGATGTTAGCACGATATATGTCAAACCCAATTGACAGTGCATGGAAAGCAGCCACTCATATGGTGAAATATTTGAATCAGACAAGTGGATACCAGCTGCATTTAGGAGGTGGATCAGGTGAACTTGCAAACAAACCAGTGACAACATATACCAACACAAATTGGGCATCAGATCCCACAAATGGGTGGAGGAGTACCTCAGGGGCAATAATGTATGTGTATGGATGCCCAGTCAGCTGGAAGTCTCACATTCAGAAATGTGTGGCATTGTCTGTGGTTGAGGCAGAATTCATTGCTGCTTCCAAAGCAGTACAAGAAGTGTTGTTCTTCTCATATTTGCTTTGGGATCTGGAGTTCACAGATGTTCAACCAACACTCTACACAGACAGTCAGGAATGTATCCAGGTAAGTAAAGATCCAGCCAAACACTGGAAGTTGAAGCACATTGATACCCAATATCATTTTGTTCAAGATCACATACAAGAAGGCAATGTAATGATCAAATTTGTTGGAACAGTGAACAACATAGCAGACATTATGACAAAACCTTTGCAGGGTCTCAACACCTCTCAATTAGCTAGGATGATAGGATTGGAGATACTGCCAAGGGGGGGTGTTGAAGATGTGTCAGCATCCCAAGAAGAATGCACAAGCTATAGCTGGGACACCAAGGGACCAAATGCATGCATAAGCAATGAACACAATAAGGCACATGAAGGTTGCCATACCAATGGCTCAGGGGCATCACAGAAAGCAGCAACTCAGGGGGTTACAAAAGAGGTGACTCATCTGGCTCAGACATGATCAAAGGTAGTGATAGAGTATATATATGTGTTTGTCATTAAGATTCAGACTACCAAAATATCAAGCATTACAAGAAGACATATGACTGTGTTAAGGGAGCCTGATCATGGCCCCGTTAACGGCGTATACTAATTGTCATCTTCAATTCTTAGACTCAGCACAAGTGAGGGAAAATACCGCGCAACGCCCCCAAGTCGTTCACTTTGCGAACCTGAACAGGCGTCTCACTTGCCGCCTCTCTCTGTCTCTCGCTTGCTTCGCCAGGTCGACGCACCAAAATGTGGATCGCTTGGACCTGCGACACAACCGCAGTGACAATTGCAGGCGAAATAGTCGCCTCTGCAGCTCCACGTGCCATCTGGGTCTCTAATACCTGGACAAAGTTGCGCGCAACAGGCCAAAACTGGCTGTGTCGAACAAGAGTATCCATAAGCTTGTCAAAGTTAGATCTTGCCGATTCGAGTTGTGCTGTGGATGCTGACTGGGTGGCTTCTTGTAAAACCTCGATTTCGGCGAGAGAGGTGCAAGCAGCGAGGAAGCAAGCAACCGCAGAGAGAGGCGTGTCGGCGAGCATGTTCGAGTCGACCGCTTCTCCGAGCATGCAGATCTCGCCTGTTTCGCGAGCAGCTGAGCGCATAGCATCGTACTCTGTGTTAGTCATGGGTGCTTCTGAAAGCAAAAAGCGGTGGAGAAGGGCCATGTTGTGTGTGAGATGGAGCTGGAGGAACGAGATCGACTCGCCCTTTTCGTGTGCTCTTCTGAGGTTGGCTGATCCGAGCTGAAGCACGGAGGGAAGTGACTCGTATTGACTAACAAGATCAGCTCCAATAGCTGCGATCTCCGTTTCGCGGGCTCGCTCTCGTTCAGCGCCTGAGCCTCCGCCAACAGCTGCTCCTCCGTTCGTCGAAAGCGCTACCTCAGCTAGACGGCCCAGGTAATGCAGCTGTCGAACGAGGGCTGCAAAGATACAAGGCTCTCCCTTTCGCATCGTGGCCGGGAAGATGGTATCGATGTCGTGATCCTTAATGATGAGAGGGCGGGCGGTGGCGATGGATGTGATTCGATCGAGACAGTAGGTCATCCAGAAGACGTCGTCAGCGATCAGCTTCTGCGCCCTGCCACCATGTTCGCTCTCCGGTGCGGAACGTGGTGCTGCCTCAAACGCGGGGGATGGCTGTCGGTGCTGGGCAGGTCGAGCGCGGTGCAAATCCAGCTGCATGCAGAGACGCACTGCGGACGATGTGATAGCCGCTGCGGAAACCATCTGACCCATGAGAATGTCTCGGATCGCCATTACACCAAGAGCCAAAATCGCTTCGAGGTGAGGATTCTGCAGCGCGCCACCAATCAGAGCGCGCGCTCGCTCACTGTAGACCTTGCTGCTGAGCGCATCAGCACTAGGAGGGCGCAGGCCATCACGTTCGTAAAAGCTGGCACCGATAGCGCAAAGAGCATTGGCCAACAACGCCGAGATAGAGCCGTCTTGGATGCGACTGCCGATGGCTTCGGTGTCGAGGCCGGGCATCTGCTCGCCCACAGCATTGACATAAACTTGGAAGAAGAGCTCGAGGAGAGGCTTGGGAGGCATGACATCTTGTTGACGCACGAACGGGATGACGGCGGCTGGCGGCAGTGAAGATGAATGAACAGGCGACCAGTTGGAAGGGGCAACCTGGTTTGGCTTGGAGTTTTTGTCGGCCTTTGCCTTTTCTCTGGCCAAGGCTCGCCGCTGAATGCTGTTGATCAGCGGCAAAGACAGTTGGTCCACGGGGATGGGATAGCTTAGAGAGTCGTATTCGGATGAGGCTGACTCGAGCATCTCGCGCTCTTCGTGTCGAGCAAGATCCATGGCGATGCTCATGTGGCGCAAGTCCGGCTGCGTAGGTGGACTGTTTCGAAGTCTGAAGATGTGCAGTTGGGCAACGGCATCTGCAGGTGAGCGATTGGGACTGTGTTGAGCATCTGCAGCAAAGAGCTCGACCATGCCGACAATGCCAGCTGCAACGTCCATAAAGGGGCGTCGGGCCGCGTGCGAGAGGCCACCAACGATATCCCAGTCAGCGGCAAAGGCGCGATCGAGACGCTCACCGGCTGTGCTTCTCTCAGCAAGATCTTCCAAAGTATCCTCTTGACTCATGTAGGCCTCGACAGCAATGCGTTGGGCGTCGGTGGGTGGACGACCGAGAACGGCGATCTCCAAGGCTCTCTTCTTGCAGTAAGTGGCAGTTGCGTTGATACGTGGACCTCGAGACTCTGGCATTGATCGCATGGGTCGGCTTTGCTGTGCTTCCCGCGCCAAACGACGATCTTGGGGATGAGGCTCGGCTCTGTCGTCGCGCATCCAAGATGGAGACGAATCGTGTCGGGATGATGGAACACCGGCTGAGCTGTAGGGACGACCATGAGATTCTGGCCTTCCGTACGTTTCTGAGCGGCTCTCGTGAGCATAGTGGGGATGCAAGTGACGCTCAGAAGGGCTGCGGCTTGCTGGCATGGCTGACTCGGCGTGACGAGCGTGTCGATCGCCATCAGAATTGGTCCGATAGCGATTCGCACGACCCATAATGGGACTCGAGGCCATAGCAGAGCTGTGAGGGAGCGAGCTCGAGCTCATTGCCACGTGTGGCATGGATTGAGAGGGCGGCAGCCCACTTACAGGGCCTCTTTCGCCAGCTGAGCGACCATAGACGTCGGCAACTGCATGCTCAGCCAGGTCGAGAGGCTTTTGCTCGACCGATTCGGGAGAGCGTTGAGACGAAGCACCGACGGGACTCCTCTTTCGTGCTTTGGCAGCATCTCCTGTCTTGGCACGACGAAAGTCGACTTCTGGCCATTTGCATTCGATCTCTGCGATCGATGAAGGGTCAAGTGCGAGAAGAAGTAGAGGATTTGTTAGAAATGCGGTTCAAAGTGACGGCAAGGACAGGTGCGGTGATACTCACTCATGTTGGCGCAGGTCTTGCAAGTAGGGCGGACACCGTCGCAGCGCGATTTCCGGTTACGGCACGCGAGACATGCGAGCGAAACACGAGGTCGCTTGATGGGAGTTGCAGTAGTGACGGGCTCCACCTCGGAGAAATGGCGGATATGGGTTGGCGGCACGTCGTAATGGATATGGTGATGGGGCATGTGTGACGACGCGTGGCCTGTCATCGGTTCGTGACGGTAGGAGTCGGGATGACGCATATGCGAGTCATAGTAGGAGGGAGGCCCACTCTCTCCGGGCGAGCGACGGGTATGGATGTAGTCAACAGAGACCATACCGACAGGGACTGAGGAGGGCGAGCTTGGACGACGAACATAATCATAGGCAGGTCGATCTGACATGGAAGGGTAGGGACGATGCGAAGCGTAGTGAGACGTGTTCGAATCCTTGATGGGAGGCAATCGGGTATGAGCTAGAGGAGGCAGCTCGTTTGATCTTGCCATCGGAAGCTTTGGTAAAGAGTGGCTGGAAGGCAGAACGGGAGGCAAACGGTCCATTCCTCTTCGCGGATTTTCCTCTCCTCTGGGAGCAGAGGAACGAGGAGGAGGAGCCGAACCGCCCAGATCGGCGTAGTAAGGCGGCCTGTCCATAGCGACGGGCGGCAAGAGCTTTCTGCTGCTCAGAGCAAAGTCGACGATGGTGGACAAAATTGTGGGCAACAAGTCCCAAGGACGTCGGAAGATAAGCAACAAGACTCAGCAAGACTATGAGATGTGATCAGTAACGAGGGGGCTTGGCGGGAGATTTGGCCCAACTCGGATGCACACAATGGCTTTGAGGAGCGCCGGAAGTGTAGGATTGACAGGCGGCTGTGCAAGCGCCGCAAGTCACGAGTCGGAAGTGCCGACAAGACTTGTAAGCATCCACTGCCAGGAGACCACAGCAATACCGACGACCGGCAAGGCACTTCTGACGTTTAGGAACGTTTGGTGGTTGTTAGCTTGAGGCGTGATCCGCCTTAATTGTAGAGCTTTGGCGTTCGAAGTGCTCGAGGAGTGATGAAGAAGAAGACGTTGAATTTGGCGGCAAGATCAGGAGGATCACTACGTCCGAAGTGCCGGTAAAGCGGCGACGGATGGCGAAATTTGTCAAGAAGCCGAAGAAGCCGATGATGAAGTGAACGCGGAAGATAGCAAGTGAAAAAAAAAAAAACAATCTTGCGGATAGAAAGATGGGATGTGCCTGGATAATGTAAGAGCACCAGCAGCACTAAGTCCGAAAGGAGTGTTGGGGGATGTTGATGATATGAAGAAGAAGAAAAGGATGCCGAGCTTTGAACAAGACGATCTGTCTCGAGGGGAAGCGGGCACTGTCGATTAGGCTTCGCGTATATGTCGACACTGTGTCGAGCTGATGAAGGACTTTTCTTTCAATCGGAAGCAGTCCGAAGAAGCGCTGGACTGAGGATGAGGAGCGGGCTAGTCGGCTTTCCCAATGGTGTCGAGATGCTGACTCTGAACGCTGTGAGCTGATGCCGAAGCGACGTTGAAGGGCAATGCCGTCGCCGTTGATCGTTTTGCGTACACTGGCGAGCTCGATAACTGGGGATAGAGTAGAGCAGAATACGATGGAGCAGATGGGTGTCGACGGCAAGATGGGGGTGATGGGGAGAAGAAGGTAGCGGGAAGAAGCAGAAGAGGAGGCGGACAATATGCAATTCGAAGTAGGTCAGGCAGAAGCAAAGCATGTTCTAAAGGTCACCCCGGTCGTGGTTGGAGTTCCCGAAAAGGCGCACGAAGAAGTTGGTGGGTGCGGGTAGGTGTGCGTGTGCGTGTGTTTGTTCGATTGTATCCACCAGCAGCCGAGAACAGGAGGGATCAATCACGAGGGATCAATCACGAGGGATCAATCACGAGGGAAGGGGAAAGCTCGGGAGATGGGCTAGGAGGAAGGGGAAACGGAAGTTTACACATTCTCGCATGATTGGCGTGTCAGAAGTGCAGGAAGCGGGTCTCATCGTGATAGAAAGGCTCAGCAGCATCCAGCGACATGTGCCAACGGCTGCAGAGGCAGCAGCAGCGGTAGCGAGAAGGCAGGAAGGTAGGAAGGTATGAAAGTGGGTGTAAATGCAGTACGGCTATGGATTTGGTTTCGGCGCAGACAAGGTCTGGGGTTCACTCGGTACAGCTGCCGGACCAAGATTGTGGAAAGTCGAAATGAGATCTGGGTGGGGTCCATCCAATCCCGTTGAAAGTTGGAGGAAAGGCAACTAATAACTTAGTAGTAGCCGCTGAGAGCAGGACCCATGATGTGCGAGAGAGAATGCGAGAGCAGCCGATGCAACGGAAAATGAGAGAGGCAAGCGAGATGCAAAGAAAAAGGAGAGATGGGTGCGTGGGTGCGATGCTGCCATCCCGACGTGCAGAGAGAGAGAGACTAGCAAACCTGTGTGAAGGGACACCCAGGGTGCCGGTAAACCTCTCGCCTGACCCGGAATCGGCAATGACCGAGCGAGCTCACTTGCTTATAACAACCAAGGTTAAATTTGTTCTCTTCTTGACTGCCTTTCTTTCTCTGCTCCGTCAAGGCGCGCAAGTAAAACCTGATCAACAGATGTCATCTGTCTCATCTTTGTTCGCAGTGCTGTGTCATTGAGGCAACAACAGCAAAACCGCTGGTCCATTCGGGCAACAACAATAGGCTGTCCTTCCGATGTGGCGTCCTAAGAGGCTTCACTAGAGGGGCGCAACGACCCGCCTTGCCAAATGAGCGGCAATCTGACATGACACGGGGCGCCACGAGACGGTATTGCTTGCGAGGTTGAAAGCAAGAACCGACATAGAGACAATAGAAAGCATTGACTAGTCGCCGCTTGGACCATGCGACTACAAGATGAAGAGGCCAGAATGATGAAAGGGGCACCGCTTTCAATGCATCTGTGCTGTCTTGTAACGCCAGATCAAGCGAGGCTGTTATGAAATTACTTTTAGAGATAGGGATTCTCATCGCTTCCAGTAGAGAAGATGATGTTGCTATGGTTGCGCTTCCGTTGGCTTTTCATGCTGTTTGCAGTTCTATCCTGCGAAGCGAAGCGAAGCGATGGCTTATAGGCGAGCTGCGTGTGGGCGTGTCAGCCCTGCTTGAAACTTGATCATCGTACACTTCGGATGTCGTTCCGCCTCTTCCGACATGAATGGTCATTTGTACGGGCACGCCACAAGGAGGAAGGGCTTATGCTGAGCGGCGATTCCCCTGTCAATCGCTTCGATTTCACGTTCCGATTTTGAATTTCTGTTTTATTTTATTTTCCTCCTTTTTCTCTCACACTCACACGCTACGTATTTTAGCCTTCGCCTTCCATCGCTTGAGTGCCAGCCGCTATAAGCGAACCTCGTTTTCTGCAAAGCGTCGGCATTTGCTGCCCAAGCGAGTTGAGCCACAAGCTCTTCTCCAGAGTCCGCAAGCCAGCGATCGCATCAGAGGTCACTTAATGCAACTATGGAGTTGAGTTGACAAATACGCTGCCACCTTCTCGGAGCTGAGAAGGCAGACACATTCGATAGAGCATTGTCTGTTCTCGTACTGGTAGCTCGTGACGATATGCTAATTTAGTTTCCACTGCCAAGCTGCACTATTATCAGTCATAGACAATGTCGGGTTCGGTGTCGCGGACCCGATTGAATTGCCCATACCACACTAACAAAGAGCTCGGGAAGCCCCAAAAGTGGGTCACACACTGATTCATTTTGCTGAGCTTCAAGTACAGTTGTGTCCAAAATTGCCCAGCATCTAATTAATTTGATATGGTGTTCTCAGGTCCTTTTCATGATGATGACCAGTACTCTTTGTTCTCTTTGACAACACCCACTTTGTGTGGTATGGTTGCAAAGCTTGGATAGCCTGCTATCAGAATATGTGAGAAAAAAAGGGTAATCCCACCAAAGAATATGCTGGAATTTAGGTTGGTGCTCTTTGAAGCCCCTCCTCCTCCTCAATTCATTCTGTACCTTGTGTAACTTATCGCTTTGCACAGAATTGAGCTAATAGACCATGCTTGAAACTTCATATGATTGTAGTAAGATATAAACAAAGATGTTTTGGGGTGTTTTGATGAGCTTAGGACATCATATGGCAATACTGCTGTCAACATGGCAAGGAGGGCAAAAAATCAATATGGGGAGGACTAAATACACCACCACTCACCTATTATGGGTCAAAGAGCTGCTCCAAGCAGGTTTCTCAACAAGGGAGATAGCAACTAAACTGTCTATCAACAAATCCAGCATTGCTGAACTGGCAAAATGGGTACCAGAGAGTGAATATGTGAAAAGGATGCCTGGGAGGACCCTCCTCCTCTCCTTGCACCAACAGGCATTACTCACCAGAGGAATTAGCAAGAATTCTTATACTTTGGCTACTGAAGCTTCAGCCTACTGGCTATGACACTATGAACTTTGTTTGTCCAGACAAACCATTACACACATGCTGAAGTGAGCTGGACTTAAGTTTAGGGCAAAAAGAAGAAAACCCTTGCTCACAGATAAACATAGGAAGGCAAGGAGGGTGTTTGCCTAGAAGTATAGACATTGGACTGTTGAACAATGGAAGAATGTCATCTGGAGTGATGAATGCAAGGTTCAACTCATTGGAAAGGACCTGGAAAAGTGATACTGGTCCAGGGATGTCAACTATGATATATATATACCTACACTGCAGGAGGGTGGCCACAGCATCATGATTTGGGGGTGTATGACCTGGGCAGGCCTAGGCCTAATGGTCTATATAGATGACAAACTGATTTCAGAGTGTTACATTGAGTTGCTGGAGGAAGTGGTGCCTGGTAGCATCTTGAAGTGGAAGAATATACAGAGAATTCCACCAAGGGATAAATTGATCTTTCAGCAAGACAATGTCTGCCCTCACACTGCCAAAGTTGCCAAGGAGTACCTGGAGGAGGTCAAACTCAATTTATTGCCCTGGCCTGCAATGTCTCCAGACCTGAATCCTATAGAACATGTGTGGCAGCAGCTGAAAAAGTGGCTATATCAGCAAAGATATACTATCAACAATAAAGCTCAACTCATTGCAGGTTTTGGGCAACTTTTCCCAAGGAATCAGTCCAGGCACTAATAAAGTTGATGCCCAGGAGGTTACAGGCTGTAAGGGTTGCAAAAGGGGGTCATACAAAATACTAAATTATAGTATATAGTAATTTAGGAGGAGCTTTACACTCAAAAAAAGTCATGGCACTTTCACTGTGCACAAATGTGGTCCAATCACAACAAAACTTATATGTACTTGTAGCTCTCAATCTCAGCTTTCCAACAATATGTCACAAGCTACACTTCATTGAGGATACCAGCTCTTGAGAAGCAAAGTTGATGTGTGGTGATGAGCATTTAATTATCCTAAAAGATGTGGGGCAATTTTGGATGCAACTGTAAGATTAGAGTTGCCGGTGTTGGCTTGGGCCCGGGTAGTTTTTGCGTTTTTAAAAACGTGGGTTTTTGAAAAGCGCGTTTTTGGAGGAAAGTTGAACACCTAATTAAGGAAAAGCGGGTTTCCAAAAATGCGATGAGGTCATACAGTCAATAAGAGATGTAGCCTAACAGTAAGCATATGTTACTTGTCCTGCTCTCATTACTATCAC